GTTTCCTCTCTTTGCCCTCCATGAACTTCAGTGCATTGGACTTAGGTGATGCTTTCAGGGTATGGGGCACATAGGGAACAGCAGCATCGTGTTGCTCAGCTGGTGGGAAGAGAGCCAGGTCATCTCAAACATACACTCTCCATCATCTCTGAGTTTATATTTGGCAAAGGGAAAGGGAGATGAGGGCCTTGTGAATGACGCAGGGGTTGTAATGAACGCTGGACTGGGTTTGTGAAACTCTGAACGCATATTTTGAATGCTGTGAGTGGCAGTTCCATTACACACACACATGCCCTCATTGGCAGTCGGGTTTGAGAGTGTCTTGCTTGCTGTCAAACAGCCACTGGTGTTCTGGGGAGCCGAGGGAATTAAAGGGAACGGCTCCTTCCTCCGTGTGCTGAACTTGCTGGTTCTGATTCAGCTCGTTCTCTTTGCTTGAAAACCTTTGAGTAATTCTTACGTGTAGTTAACATTTACAACACGGTTGGCCTTTTTTGTTCCTGTAGCTTCCGAAACACAGCAGTCAGTTGAGTGGCGGGATGTCCTAAGAGTGATGGAAAGGTTGGGTCAGAGGAGCAGCTTCTGGTGAATGCAGTCTTGGAGGGAACGTATTCTCAGTGTAAAAGGATTTTTCTGTCTTTCCAACAGAGGTTACTCTACAACCTGACACTTCCCATTGTCAAGAATGTCATGGAATCGTAGAAATATAGAATCCTGAAAGCTGGAGAAGCCCTCTGAGATCCCCATAGCCAACCCCATCCACCCCCCATGCCCACTGCCCACATCCCTCAGTGCCACATCCCCACACCCCAGGGATGGTGACCCCCACTCCATGGGCAGCTGTGCCACTGCCTGACTGCTCTGTGGAGGAAAAACATTTCCTGGTGTCCCACCTGACCCTTCCCACCCTATTAACCCTTAGCACAAGGACTCTGCTCCTTTAAGTGCATGTGAGGTTTCAGCTCAAATGGGCATTTTTCTTTCTGTCTGCAATATTGGTGACAAATGGGAAATGAAGGCAGCTAAAATGAAAGCAAGAAACGGGTGCACTCTGAGCAGATGCTGACACAGGGCATGAGCACAGAGCAGTGCCTGGTGCAGGGCAGCCCGGCTCCCATTGGGCATAAGGAGCCCAGAGAGCAGCAGGGCCCAGCAAGACCCAACCTGCCTATGCTAGAATAAAGGACGTAAACGTGATAGATGGCTTTGTGTATTTTTCATATCATGTGCTCATGACACTTTTTTTCCATGTGCTAAAAATACCTTCCATAGCTACTGAATGGGTCCCCAGCGGCTCATGGCCGGGCTGATGGATACGCTTCGCCCTGAGCCAGCCCAGCTCCCTCCAGTTCCTTCCCTTGGGGTCTACCCAGCTACAAGCACTCTATTATTTGGCATTAAGAATAATACGGGTGGGACATAAAAAGAGCTGACCCCCCAGATCCATAGCAGAGGATGAATTGCATGGCCTCCAAGGTTGCTCGCTCTGGGTTTAAGTGCAGGAGGAAAGAGAGGAGATGGAGCTGCTGAGACTGCATGTGGGTGTGCATCGTCCTCACCCAAGCAAGCACTGGTGCCTCAGCTTCCCATGGATACCATTGCTTGCTTGGAAACCCACTGTTTTCCCAGACATGGGCACTGCTTGAAGTCACCGATTCACCAGGCACTTGTTCAACATCACAGAGCTGCTCACAGTGCTTTTCCCATGTTGTCCATTCCTTGCTGCTTGCTGGCTTCTCTTGTCTTTTGTCCAAGGGCCTCACGTTGTCATTTCAGTGCTGGGAAGTGTTGGTGCAGAGGAGGTGGGAGCAGTGCAGTGCTGGGCTGGCTGTGAGGAGCTGGCTGCAGCCCTGGGCACACTGTGGTGTGTTTGTGGAAATTGAGCAAGTTTAAACCCTCATTATGGAGGGGATGCTACTACATTATGATATCAAAGAGCTGGGAGATGTGATGTCCCTTGGGGCCACGCATCACTGTCTGCTGAAATCAGTGCAACAGAAGGAACCGTGCATGCACAGGGAAGGGAGTGAGGAGAGCTGCAGTGGTTCATTCCTTAGTGGTATGTGATAAGGGCTCAGAGCCTGTGTATTTGGAGGGGCTGTCCCCCTGGATGTGAGCTTGAGTGTCTGCAGGGGATGCTTCCATAGAGTCATGGCCTGAATGTGAACTCTGCATCGTGCAGATCTCAGCTGCTGATGTGCACCTTTCCAGCACTGTTTGATTATGAAGAAGATGTGGGAAGCATACAATTAAAATTGTGTGGCCATTGAGAGGGATTGAGCCTGAGTACCTCCAAAGGGTTATCTAAAGGCAATTGCAGCTGCCAGTGAGTTTGTAATATATGTATCTCTTTTAAAGCATTGAACACCACTGGCTGAGGGGAAGTGGCTAAGATACATCCTGGTCTTTGTTCCGGGTGCACATTTTGAGCTGAAAGAGTGAAATCCATTATCTCTTGTTTCCCAGCCTGTTATCTCAGCCAGTTGGAAGCAAAGGAGGCTGCTTGTGAGCCAGGGATGTGCAGACCCAGGAGGATGCTCTGTAGATGGGCAGCAATGCCGAGCTCTTCCTGAGGCTCTGCTGCAGAGGCACCTCTTGGACACTGCTTTCAGCCAGACAAAATTGCTGTGCTACCTTTGAGAGAGTAAAGCACTCCAGATGTGCAGCAGCCTAAGGTGAGGCTGCTCCAGCCCTGCTTTGGGGGAGTTGGGCTCATGCTTTTTAATTTGCTGCATCAATAGCTGATGCTGTGCAGCTGGGCATGCTCTGCCTGTGGAAGTGCTCAGGGCTGTGCTGGATGGGGCTTTGGGAACCCAGTCTGCAGGAGGTGTCCCTGCCCTCAGCACGGGTTGGGGCCAGATGGGTTTGAAGGTTCCTTCCAACCTCAACCACTTTACCATCCTACAGTTCTCAATGAGTGACCATGAAAGGAATTACCCCAGCTGCCCCGCTCTGGTTGGGGCTGTATGGATTTTGGGACTCGTTGACTCCAAACCAGCCATTGAGAGGCTGCAGTGATGTCCTGCTGTGAGTCCTGGGAGAAGATCCTTCTGCAAACCCCCCCCCTAGGCCAACAGCCATCACAGGGCCCCACACAATAGAGAGCTCACAACCAAGGGCCACTCAGCCCTACCACTGCCCCTCTGGGAATGCCATCAATGGAAACATTACAGAGGAACCAGAATGCTCATCACTGAATCACCCCTTGGATGGTGATAAAATCAAGTGCATTCTACCAGGGACAAGCACAAAAAAGTGACTTGGTTGTCCATATTGTCTTGGAGCCAACCGTGATATGACAGGATCCTCCTCTGGGGGCTCCTCTGCTCTGTCATAGGAGCTGGTGTGGCTTTGGCCATCCAACACCCAACGCTTACCAATGGGTTGGAAGTGATGGATTGGAAGCACTGTGCTGGATGGAGGCTCTCATGTTATACCTTTGGGCCACGGGCAGCCACGTCCTGGGCTGCCTGCACTGCTACAGAACCAGAACTTTACCATCCCTCAGATTTACAGCATTGGAAAAATCTGTGGCTTCTGGCGAATGTTAATTAAAATGTCTTACACTTTGCTATAATTAATAAAGAATACTTAATGAATCTAGCCCTCAAGCAGTGCTCAGGTACACAGTGCCCTGCTAGCAAGGCAGGCTGTGCTGCATTACCACCAAGTGATGCGAGTTAACAACTTGGAGGTGTTTTGTAATCAGCAAAACATCCCTATTAGGAGTTCTCCTTCTTACTGTATTATTAAATGCTGTATTATCCAGCATTAAGGGGTAAAGAAGGGAGGAGAGCTTTGGTTACGTTTCTCCCCACTGTTTCAGTTGATGGATAGCTCAGTAACATTTCCTTTGATTTAATGACAAATTCCACAGCATATTTGTTCCCGGGAGAACAGGCAGATCTGTTCTTTTTCTTTCCCTTAAATGAGTACACAGCTGAGATTTCTGCTCATCTCGGGGAATTACACCACATTGCGAAATCCTGCTTGGTTTCATTTGCTACCAAAAGTTTACTCTCCGTCTGGAGGCTGCCTGAGGCTCCAGCTGGATTCCACTTCCCAGCCCAAAAAGGACTTAAGCCCCGGTGCTTGTTGTAAATGCTACATTTCATAGAATCATCGAATGGCCTGGGTTGCAAAGGCCCACAATGCTCATCCAGTTCCAACCCCCTGCTGTGTGCAGGGTCACCAACCAGCAGCCCAGGCTGCCCAGAGCCACATCCAGCCTGGCCTTGAATGCCTGCAGGGATGGGGCATCCACAGCCTCCTTGGGCAACCTGTTCCAGTGCCTCACCACCCTCTGGGTGAGATTGTTCCCTTCAGCCACGAACCATTAAGGAGGGAACTTCTCTCAGCATCTCCTGCCGATGTCTGTAATGATTTGTGTTCTGATCAGCCCGGGATAAGCCGAGGGACAACGGGGCATCCCCAAAACCCCGCGGCTCCGGCAGGAACCTGCCCGGCCCGGAGCGGTGCTGCGGCACAGTAGGGGTGCCGGGAATCGGATCCCTCCCGCACCCATCCCCAGCGCTTCTGCCGCGTCTGCTGCTCCTACAGCAAATGTGGCCGTATTGATTTCTTGCTGGCAACCCTGGGGGATGTGACAAATAGCTCTGCCAGCCTCTCACAGAAAGATGCTACCCCTATGAAGGAAATGGACGACGGAGTAAAAAAATTCAGAGCGTGAATATCTCCCCCTTAAACGCGGCTGTAAGAAGTCACCTGTTGGCGAGGCTTTCGGCTGCGTTAATAAAAAGCGTCGATGCCGCTGGCCTGGATGGGCAGCACGGCCATTTGCGGGGCCGGAGGGGTCCCGCCGCATCCCGACCGCTTCGCGGAGCCGCCGCCGCCCCCCGCTCCCTCCCGCATCCCCCGGCCGCGAGCAGCCCGGCTCTTTACGCGAAGGAAAAGAGCAGCCCAGACCTGTTGCCATCAGAGCGCGTTTTACTTCGGCACCGCGGCTCTCCCCGCACCTCGGGGCCGCGGTGCCGCTCGGAGCGGGGCGCGGACGGGCGCGGGCAGCGCTGCGGCTCAGCGCTCCGTGCGGGGCCGCCTCGTCGGGGCGCGGGGAGCGGCGCTCAGTACGGTCCCACCACCACCGCCTCCACCTCCTTGGACGGCCGCCGGTCCTTCACCAGAAAGTTGATCATGCCCTCGGACTTGATGAGCAGGTTGCAGCCGAGGAAGAAGATGCCGAAAACGACGGTGAGAGCCAGGACGCACATGACGGCGATCTGCACCACCCGCATGATGTAGAGGCTCCGCTCGTCCGCCGCCGCCGCCGCCGCCGCCGCCGCCGCCGCCGCCGCTCCTCCGCCGCCGCCGCCGTCGGTCACCGCGGAGGCGGCCGTGCAGCAGCGCAGCGCCCGCTCCAGCTCCAGCGCCGCGCTCCCGGCGCCCGCCACCAGCCCCGCCGCCGCCGTGCCGCCGCCCGCAGAGCCGTTCATCCCGCCCGGCCGCCCCGCCGCCGCCGCCGCCGCATGCAGCGGGCCGGGCCCCGCCGAGCCGAGCCGAGCCCCGCCGAGCCCCGCGCCGCGCCGCTGCCCGCTCCGCCCGCCCCGCCCGGCCCCGCCCGGGGGGTGGCACCGGGACTCGGGGTGGGGGGAGAACGGGTTTGTGAGTCGGGGTTTGGGGCTGCGTGTGCGGGAGAGGGATCTGGAGGAGGGCTCGAGGAGATGGGGCGGAGGGTTTCGGGGATGGGGCTTAAAGGAGAGAGTTCTGAGGGTGGGTTTCTAAGGGGTGGGGTTTGGGAGGGACGGGCTGGCACAGGTCGGACTTGGAGGAGCGGCATTTTGCGGGTTGTTTTGCTTTAGGAAGGAAGTTTTGGGATTGAACGGGCAGATAGTGATGGGACGGGTGGGAACGGCTTTAAACTAAAAGAAAGGAGATAGAGGTCAGATGTTAGGGGGAATTTTTTATTCAGAGCGCAGTGAGGCCGCGGCACTGCCCAGAGATGTGGTTACACATCCCTGGAGATGCCCCAGGCTGTGGATGAGCCCCCTGAGCTGGGGGGCAGTCAGTCCACGGCAGGGCTGGAGCTGAGGGCTGGGAGGTCTCTTCCAACCCAACTGTTCTATGGTTCTGTGATCTTTAAGGTCTCTTCCAAGCCAAGCCATTCTATGATTCTGTGATATGGTTGTGTGCTGGGACAGCTGGGACCAGCATAGTAGGGCCAGGAGCGATGTTTGGGATATGGGGTGATAGGGGACAGCTGCTCCTCTCCTCAGGCTGAGCCACGGCTGGGGTATTTCTAAGCAGGGATGTGGATGTGGGCAGTGCCCACGGCTGGCTGGGACCATGGCCACGTTACACCATGGGAATGAACTAGCAGGGAGCTGAGGGCCCGGACAGGGAAATGGTGTTTCCTGAGCCCCTTGAGGTAAATTCATCTTAAGCTTGGGGGGCTTCAGCTGCTCATACAGTCACACAGGGCTGGGGGTGCCAGTGCTGTGAGTCCCCCCCAAGGCACCTGAGGGCTCTGCTGGCTGAGGCTTGCAGCCTTATCAGATGGGACACGAGGAGAACATTCTGTTTTTACTGCTGGAGGAAGAAGATAGTATTAATTCTAATTAGCAGCAGGAGTGCTGGCAGTTGTTTTAGCCAGAGGAAAATGCTGGAAAAGAAGTTGAGCTCCGCACAACTCCTTTGGCAGAGCGCAGCTCCCTCCTTCTCCATTTGGAAATGTTTCCTAATAACAGCCTTCGCTCCCCAAGGCAGCAGCAGCATCAGAACTGTGGTAGAGATGGGGCTGCCACAGCCAAACAGGGCAGTTGTGAGAAAACGTGCAAATTGTGCCAGGAAACTGCAGAGGACATCTCTGGTTGTGTGTGTGGTGTCTCTTAACACTGAGATGCCACCTACTTTGGTGTTCTGTGGTGAGGAATAGATATAAAGAAAAGTTCTTGCTCTGAACAGCACGACTTTTGCCAAACGTCCCCACTGTGATCTAACAGCAGGGTTAAGGCAAGGTATGCAATTTAACCTCTTACCATTCCCATCATTGCCTTTGTTCTCATCCTTCTGATTTGCAAGCCAGAACAGGAGGAGCTTTGAGGAGCGAAGTGTATTTCAGAGTATCCATTGGAGAAAGTTTCTAAGAGGTTTGGTGATGCAGATTTCGGGTGATGCAGATTTCAGGTGATGCAAAGCACTTGTTGGAAGGTCAGGTAGGGCTCGCTCCTCTCCCCTGCTTCAGGCTTGGAGGTGACCCCAAATAGGGGCACCCAGAGATCACCTGCAGGGCAGCCCCCAGCCTAGGAGTTTGGGATGGGAGGGGGGAGGGCAGAGGAATTACAGGATGGGGATGGGAATGGAGGTGGGAATGGGGATGGGAGTGTGCATGGGGTGGGGTTGGGATGGTCCAGAGAGGGAAATTGAGATAGGGATGGGTGTGGGATGGGTATGAAGATGGGGATGAGGATGGAGATGGGGATGGGGATAGGGATTGGGATGGAGATGGGGATGGGGGTGGGGAGGGGAATGTGATG